TTTTTTTTTTTTTTTTTTAATGCTTAACTTTTTTTAGTTTTTATTTTTTGTAAAATTAATGTTTCAATTGGTGTTTTGATTAACATTAGTATTGCTTCTCAATCTAGCTAGCATATTTATGATAGTCTGTTTCAATTATTATATTTTCTATATGGATTTTGCTACTTGTACAAAAGAATTTGTACAAAAATGTTGACAAACACTCACATGTGGGGGGGGCCCACTTTTTATTTTCAATTTTTTATTCATGTGGGGCCGGCAATCATGTGAGTGTTTGTCAACATTTTTGTCAAATTCCTTTTGTACAAATAACTTTATTCTTTTCTATATCACGTGCTTTTACATTTAGTATTTGAGTTGTTGATTTTAGAAAAAAAGGATTCGAGAAATGCAAGAGACAAACATTTAGTTTGAGTTTGGATACATTAGTTTGTTTTTACATCATTGACTTGTATTGTATAGTTTTGTCACAGAATGTCAAATGGTGAGATTGTTAGGATTTATGTTGTATTGACAATTATTTAAACAAAATGATTATTATAAATAGAATTGTTATAAAAGAGTTGTAAAAGTCAATGAGTCTTTTGGAGGGTTGTATAGATGAATTATGAGTCTTTTGGTTCGAGTATGGAACAAAGTGAAAGAGTCGTTGAATTTACGCTAGCCTATTGTCCGACTCTCGCTCGAGCGACACACCTCTCACTCACCTGGCTCTTGAGTGATTGAGTTTTTCAAGAAATCTTAGTTTGCGTTTTTCAAAAATTTTGTTCATCATATACTACCTAAATATCTTTTATTATAAATACGCAATGCCTAGAACATTTTTGTGTGTAGTTGATCATCATTATACATCCTTATATCATTATTCCAAAAATCCAAGAAAATATTCAAATATTGAGATTAATCCTTTAATTCTTAAGATCAATCAACCACAAAAATATCAAAGTCAAATAATAAAAAACACTCACTTCCTAGATATCATCAGGAATGTACTTTCCCAATAGTTTTAAGAGGTTGTAGAAGATTAAGGAAGGTTGGACCGCAAGCACAGAAAGAATACAAGAATAAAGTGTTCTTGGTGATCTATAGGAAATAGGCAATTCCAAAAGATCGAGAGCAGGCGTGGGTGAAGCACGTTCCAGCGGGTTTTGAAAATTGTACGAATTAGATAAGCATGTCTAATTGATTTTCTAGGTTGGATCATACTGTAAGTTCTTATTGTCTATAGTGGAAGTTACTGGCTTGGTCCCGAAATTTTTACCCAATTAAGGATTTTTTTAGTCATTAAATCTTGTGTTATTTATTGTTTTACTTATTATTGTAGCAATTCAACATAGGATAAAATTGACTTGTTTGATCTAACCATCTAGAAACAATTAGAAAGTGACTTGTTGCTTTTAATTGTATAATTCCTCACGTTGGGTCTAAATATTCGGTAATTTAAAACTTTCAAAGACTAATCTAATAGTTTCTGTTCAACCTGAAGCTAGTTCATTTCTTCATTTTCTCTGATGCAGTCGATATTTACAAATAAGATACCCAAACAGGCTCTCTATCAGGCTGTAACGTATTTTTCTCTTTACAGGTATGCAGCAATAGCTTGATAACAGGATTCAAGATGATGGCACTGCAGCAAGGATCAGATACTGGATCTTCCGGTCATGGAATATAGTTGCATCACCAAACAGCTTGGAAGCATCAAATATTTGGAATGTGAATGTAGAGCGAGTCAGGCGGTTGTCTTGGTATCTCGTTTTCCTCGTCTGAAGTAGGAATGGGGAGAACATGGGAGTCCTAGCACAGAGAAAATTGGAAGATCAATTGAAAAAATGAATCCTTTCTACTTTATGCTAAAATGGAGAAAAAATGAATATGAATGGAAGCCTGCTAGTATACTAAAGAACATGAAGAGTATTATACTTGACAAAGAATCTGCGCTACAATATTTGTAATGACGGGATGTGTTTCCTTTAAAATTGAACCAGTTCTAATCGCTGAACAAAACATAACCCACGTCAAAGAGAACGATTGCAAGAATTTAGTGTCCTCTTGATTGGATAATGGTGTAAATGACTGCAATACAAGCAAAAACTAAGGTTTGTGAGGGACTCTAGGGAGGCATTTACCAGAAACTGTTATATGAAACAATTAATTTTCTTATTTTGTGTACTTCAGCTGTAACTATGACGTTTTTCTTGAAATTTGATCCTGAACGTATCACAAGCTAAACCAATCTTCTTACGTGATCAAATATGATTATATGAATTAGCAAAGACACTGTACTTTTTTCAACCAACAGTCCTCCACAAACTCATGTTTAGTTTTGGTCTACCCCCTTCCATTATTTATCCTCAATCGGTGCCATCTATACATGTTGGAGCATATCCTAATCAAAATATGATACTAAAAACTTCAGCAAAAGGCAAAGGATCAATTGTAAATTAAAAAGGTATCAGATAGTTTACAGTGTTGATAGAAATAGAGGTCACTAATAAGCATAGTTACACTCATTTGAGAAATATTTAATAATTGAACTACCTGGTGATTGCGCCTATTTAGAACGCAAGTTAATGCTTTGACCATAATATAGATCGGCAAAAGAATTCCAATTGTTCGCAAGATAAGTATCTGCAAGGGGAAATGGGTATGATCCTAGACACTTCCATTCTCAATACATTCTGTTAAAAAAAAAATAAGGTTAAGCAAATGGAAGAGTATTTAGGAATCTCACCATGAAGAGAGAAACTGAATATTCGTCACTTCCATAAATGATGAATGGAAGAGTATGGCGTAATACCAGAAGAACCACGAACTAGAGAAAGACAAGCAATGAGATTATCTTAATCAATAAATACTATTGATTCACTAGCTAGCATGGAAAAAAAGGTCAAATTTACGCATCAGAAAGTAACTTAAGGCTGATACATGTGATTTTTAGTGAAAATCATATTAGAAACGACATATCAAACGTCTCTGCTCGCACACATTAATATTAAGTGGGAAAAGGAAGCAGCCACGGATGGAGGGAGGGAGAGAGAGAGAGAGTACAATCATGGCAACCATGCGGCAACATGTCATGCTTCTTGTATTTGGAACATGATACCCAACGGAGTTTGGATCCAGAAAATTGCCACCAGCAGGAACCATTGTTATGAATTGAGGATTATGCAAGTCAATTCGGGATATCTCCCAATTTCCCCTGAGATATTACCGCATTGGACTTGTGAATACTAATTAACAGTTAAAACGCAGATACTATACAAATTCAACAAAAAGAATAAACAAATTTGATATAGGTGTAGTATAGCTGCAAATCAGAAAAGTTTCAATATCCATATATGCATGAAAAAAAGCAAAAGAAATACCTAAAATTCATCGGAATACCACCGTAATGAAACAGAGGAGGTCGAGCTCTATAACCAGGCTCAAATTGCTGCAACCTCACATGCAATGAAAAACAAAGATAAACACAATTTTTTTCAATAGAGAAAAATAGATTGAAATGAGCTTGCCATTTCTAAAAGTGGGAAGCCAATAGAAAATTCTATTGTTTCAGAAAAAATAAATGAATTTGAATATCATAAAAGTAATTACACCAAGTTTGAAAGTAGAATTGTTCCATAATTTGAGCTCATTTTTCACAAATCAAACTTAAGAGGTCTCAATTTTGTTTCATCAAATGCAGCCATAATACTAAAAACATACCTGATGGCAAATCTCGCAAATGGTATCACCCTTTTCATTGCACCACCTTTGCACACAATCGCGGTGTGCATACTGCATGTATAAAAGAAACACATAGTGTTACCCTTAAACCAAGTGAAATCACTTGGAGAACCATCAATTCTAAAAAAAAAAAGGAGGTAGAAAGGAACATTAAAATGTCAGTAAATTACATGCCCCAGAAAATTGCTAAAAGAGCGAAAGTGGATCAGCTTTAGAAAATATTCAAAATTTTATTGCAGACTAAATTGTTTACATTGAAAGCATTGAACATTCATTACTAGTAAGGTGGTATGTTGCCATAAAGTTTTGTCAAGTCCAACAATATAGATAAACAGAGATTAAAATCACATATTTACGAGAAAATTACGTATCCAATCATTAGTTTCAAAATGTAATGCCAGCAAAACCACACAACTCTTTCTAAGAAAACTTTGAACTTCCAACTACAACTGAAATCAACCAAGACTACGATTTTTAGAAGACTAAAATGGAGTAATCAACAATTTGAACACAGCATACATGCACTAACTTTCATTAGGTATTGATAACATGTTATATTACTCAGTATCAGAAGACTAACCTTCAAGCTCCCACGACAGGAACAAGGTACCTCCATGGTCGAGGCTTCATCCTCATCTTTGCAAATCTTGCATTCTACTATTTTCCTCGGAGACGATCCTGTGTCAATATCCATCCTATGGGAAGAAAAGTTACTGTTCATATCTTGAGAAATCAATGGTGATGCATGCTGCAACCGGTTTTTACTCTGGATAGCAGCTTCGAGAGTGGATTCAGTGAGCAATCTATCCTCCAATATCATAAAATGATCACACATCCTCGAAACTAGATAAACAATTTCTTTTGGAAACTTTTTAGTCTTACAGTTAAGATGAAGAACATACACAGCAGGCCAATCTCTTGTGCAATTACGACCGAATAGCAAATCCAACTACTTCACCTGAAATCAGATTTTCCACAGGGTGATAATCAGCAAAAAACAACAGACATGAGCGTTAGAACAAAATGGAATCTGAAAGTAACTGAAGGTAGAGCTCTTCCAAGAAAAGTGAAATTTTGGTAATAAAGAAGACAACTTTACATAATGGAACTACCTAGCATCTGCAGTAAAATAAAGGTGGAGATACAGAATTTCCCAATGAGAAAATAAAGAAAAACAAAAATAAAATTCAAGTCCTCATAATAAAATCAGATACAATTGAAAAAAGAAAGCAACTCCAAGAACATCAAAGAAACAACCCAAAAAGAAAAAAAAAACCATCTTGGGTATAATCAGAAAACAGTACTTGAAGATATTAACAGGTAGCAGCAAATGGGAAATGTTTCGCACAGTGAAGAGGTTTATAATGTAAAAAAGGCGCCTTTTCTGACCAAATAGAATAATACCACAATATAATTTTTTAAACACATATCATAATCAATATGAAATGAAGTTTAAAGAATGAACGGAATATTAGAAGGAAAACTTACAAGAAACGGACTGGGATTTCTTCTTGTTGTTCATCATTCTTTTCTTGACTTGTATATCATGATTCTCAGTGTTTAACGTTATGATTATTATATTAACTTTCAGCTTTGTTCCCCTTTGGGCTTTGCTTTTCCTTGAGATTTGAAGTTGAGTGTTGTCACCATTTTTCTGGTTTACATTTTCCATAGTACATACACACACACATTCTCTTTTTCACGCACGCACATATTGGTGCGTCGGCAATCCCTATCCTCCCACTTTCTCCACCCAAAAAGTGGGGATAGAGAGAGATTGATTCGGATTCGGCACGCTTCCTTTCTCTATCAGTTCCCCCGTTACGTGTTAGAAAGGAAACGTTATTATCACGGATTCGGCACGATTCCTTTCTCTATCAGTTCCCCTGTTACGTGTTAGAAAGGAAACGTTATTATCAAGAAAATTGCGCGACTGATAACAACGCGTTTGGCTAATGTTCTGAGAAAATTTTGATATATTTGAATAATTTACACTTCTCTTGATTTTACTCTGAAATTAAATAATGATGCAGCGGGAAAGTGATTCTAGTTAAAATATCGAGGATTGGTCCATTAAGACTAGTTGATTCACTAGTTATGACTTTTTACCAGTCTTTAAATTTAAAAAAGAAATTGAACTAGCAATTCAGCATGTACGGCGCATGCAGAGGTCTGACTCGAGCTTCAACGATCCAAAACGTCTTCATCCTTTTCTTGTACTTGGAAGTTATTTATAATCAATTTAAATTATAAATAAATAGAAATAAATAATCGATAAATGAGTAGTAGTTATGAATCCTACGAAATATATAAATAAAAGTAATTTGATCGATTATAACAAATTATAAAGGACGCCAAACAAGATTTAACCATATCAGTAATGTGTATTGCATCAGTCGAAATTTGCTTGTTGGTTGTTCCGGTCGAACCCCGAGTAGCCGGCTTGGAACTTGTCCCAGGTGGGTGAAATGACTATTTTTTTCCAAAACTCACCAAAAAAAAAGGGTCTCAAAGAGGATCAAAATAATTCTTATATTAGTCCACTCTTAAACATATAATACAAGTTTTTTTTTTAAATTGTATTTTCATCGTTCCAACGTCGATTTCCACTAATTGCATAAAACTGTCATTTATCGAGCAAAAAGCAAATTTTGAGTATTTTCACTTTGGCCCTTAAAAACTGAAAAAATGCAAAATGACCCAAAACAAACAACACTTAGCAACAAGTCTAAGTGAGTTGATAAGTTCATAATGATTGTATTTGAATGGGGGGATGGGTCTGTGGGATGATAACATACGCATTAAGTAATTGCTTGTCATTTGTCACTCAAGTCTTTAGATAGATGACAAGAAGCACAAATAACAGTATATGATATTTGTAACACCCCGAATTTTTTTACTATTTTCATAATGACTTAAATTTAATGATGGTCATTTAGCAAATGAAACGGTCCATGTCTAGCCTTGTTGTCAAACTAAAGTCGAAAAGTTGAAGTAATAAAAACTTGACCAACTTATTTGCATAAATGATTTATTTGCTTACGTGTATTTTTAAAAAAAATTGTCGTAAGTTATTTGGATCGAAAATTTAAGTATTTTAGAAGTTGAGAAAAATATATCGATAGTATACTCATTTTGTAGCTTGTGTCAAATAATATAAATTGGGCTCAAGAAAAAGTAATTTTGAGCTAATTATGCCCGAATTATTCTAATAAAAAGGAAAAAAAGTATTATCCTCAAATATTTTGTTAATATATAATATAAAAGTAAAAATTAAATAAAAATGGGAGCTTTCATATTATATGAGAATATAAAAAGGTAATTAAATTTATTTAAACTTTAACGTAAGATTCACTTTAATTGATTTAAAATTTTATTAAATCTGTTGACCCCAAAAAATGAATTCAACAGATGTCGGGTCCACTCTGTCATGTCAAGCACTGATTCAGAGCGTTTTTACCGGAAAAGGAGCAGTAAGCTGGTTGGTTTGGACGAGGGAGGTACTTTCCGACAAGAGACACGGATGTTCAGACTCCGCCGATTGTGTTTAGACAGCACTCACGCTATCAACGAGTGTTCGATCCATTTCCTCACTAAATTGCTCCTTTTCAATAGAATATGTGGAAGGATAGATCTGAGAATGTATAATATATTGTTGAAATGTCAATATATCTTTCACTTGTATTTTATCTGACAAAGTCAAACATGCGAGTATGTTATTTCCTCTATTGATCGCACCATCCCCTTTTCAGTACAAAGAGAGGCTATTTATACTAATCTAACAGACATGAGGACCGTTGGATTGGATCCACTTGGCGACATCTCCTAGACCGAGGCTTTACATCACTGTCCATTCATTACATTCAATATTTGACAACGGGTCAGCCACGCTAGAAGTAGGCTGATATGACACATTAACACTACAGACACTTTATTACAGAAGTCTCATCAATCAGTTATAATAGATCTCCGAATCCATTGGGAGGCAGCGTCGGCATTAGCATGTGTTGAGGTCGTCAGCTTTTGGCTTACAGACATCCGGTGTGATTGAGCTTCAATGTCTTAGTACTTCGGACATGAAGAACCCCTGCCTTTGCATTGAGGGCTTTAGGCATACCTTCATTACTTCGGCTGAAAGGGACATCGGACGAATATAGCATCGGCACTCGTATGACCTCAGACAATTGCATCATTTGTTGTCATTGACTGTGCTGACTTTCCTGCTGACTTTTTAACTGACCCATGTCCACTTGGCTACAGAGAGTACGTGGCCGTCCAAGTGAAATGCTGACTTGGAGCCTCTGATTTCGGGGTAACAAAATCCATTGACCAATGAAGATTAATTTCATTAATCCTCATTAACGTGAAAATGTTTTTAATCTGTGTAACTTACATGTTTATACATTTTCAATTCATGTAAGTTACGTGTCTATAATGGAAAAAATGTATATATGTGTGTGTATATTTGAGATGAAGTGAGTTTCTTCTACCACAAAGTTTATATTGTACACATTTCCCATCACTAACACTTTTGGAATTGAACAAAGTATCATATTTATATTTTTTCACAAACTATATTTTTGGATTTATCTCTTGGTAACAATTGAGGTGAGAATACTTTGTGCAAGTAGTAAATTTTTATTTCTCGATATTTATATAAATTTTGACATGAAATACTATAAGGCCTTCGGGTGGATTTCTATGTTAAATCCTTCGGAATAGACCATTGGTCAATATGTTAAATTCTAGGGGATAGACCATTAGGTCGAATATGTAAATCCTACGAGACATGAGAATTCTTAAGAAATTCCTTGAGCTATTTGATATCGTGATCAGTTTGCTCTAAATTTAAGAATGACGATATATTATGTCATTTTATATTTATATCATGTTAATAAGAATATGCACATATTTTTACGGAGTGTTTTCAAAATACTCACTATTACAATAACTTTTCAGATTAGAAAAAGGTCGTGTGGACGCGTGAAAAATTGATCGAGTGACGCTCATGTGGTTGCCAAGTAAAAAAAATTGAAATAATTATTGCAAATTTTTATTTTAAGAATAAATTTTATGTAAAATTCCGTGCACGTTATTTTAGTAGTTTTGGCGTTTGAGCCTTGATATCCCATGTTGAATTGAATTTGACAAATTTAAAATCTTCGTATTTAAGATTTAATTATATATGTAATTTCTCTTTAAAATTGTTAAATTTTAGATTTGTAGATCAAATTTCAATATTTATACAATAGTGTTAAATTCCGTATAAACTAGATAAGAAAATTTTTAGTAACACTTCAAATCCAAATTTAAAAATACAATATTTATACCAAATAATTATTTTATAGACTTACTACGTAGGGACAATAATAACATAAATTTTTTTATTATAACAAATAAATAGCCAGCAATACTACCATGGACTTTTTAAGTCCAATATTTGCCTGATCAAGCCAGACGTGTATATGAGTTTTGTACCAAATTAGAACTTCTCTTGTATTATTGTGTTGATGAGATAACACAAAGAATGAGAAATTATATATGAATTGAGAATCATAATCATATTTATAATTGGGAACAATACATAAATAAGATATTTAAATATCACCATTTCAAAATTAAGAATAGATGTTTTAAATTTCAAAAATCAGGTTTTTATTAAAATTTATTTATGATTTAATTAATTAAATATATTGAGGTCACGGATCTATACAATTTGATCACAAATTAACCATTTAATTAGTCACATTATTTTTCAGTCACAAATCAAAATTTTTATGTCACAAATTATTTTACAATCACAATTCAAAAAATTTATAGATCACAATTTGTTCA